ATACCCTATGATATTGCTTATCTGTGGAATCTTAAAAAAGGACACAATTGAACTTATCTACAAAACAGAAACAGACTCACAGACATAGAGGACAAATTTTGGTTACCAGGCAGTAAAGGGTGTGGAAAGGGATACATTTGGAATTCAAAATTTGCACCTCTTGGGGAGTGATGGAAATTGTGGTACTGGTTTCATTGGTGTATATAGCTATCAAAATTCTTCCAATTATACATCTGAAATATGTGCAGTTTATTGTACAGGAATCATACCACAATAAAGGCATTTTTTTAAAAGAAAAGAAAACAGTTGCTATTTTTATTATTGACAAATAAAATAAATTGTTTAAAAAGAAAAAAATGGTTAAATACATACAGGAAAAGAGACAGCTTTTCTTTACAAAATAATTCCAATCAACAAATATAAAAGGAATAAAAGAAATAGAAAATCATCATTAGATCACCACTGTAAAAATTGTTGCAGGCAAGATTCACCTCTGTATACTAAAATTACATTGTATAGGCAAAAGTTTGAGGAGAAATAGGATAACTTCCTAATCTCAAACATCCTCCCCAGGACATCTGTTACTTACAAAGGTAAAGATTATAACTTTGTATTAGATTAATTCGGCAGATATCACTTAATGATGTGACCAAGGTTAACATCATTGGAAATAAGACATGTTGACATCATCTACGTTTTGATATGGTTTATGTTTTTGTTAAGGCAAACTGGTTTTAAGGAGAGAGATAATTCTATGCAAGTTTTTTCTCTAATAGCTTTTTACTCTTCTTTTTGTGTTTCTTTTTTGAAAAGTCATTACGCTATAGGAAACTTAGTAGACAGCAATTGTAAGGCAATCCACTGGGATTGCGGGTCAATAAAGAAAAAAAGACCACTCTGGATATCTTTCAGCATCTACAGCAACTCAAATTTCAGTAAAATTAACAGAAATGTTATTTGAAATTCACTATATTTGTAGGGAGGAAGGAAATACTTAAGTCCCCTTTTTATAAAAGGAGAATTCTCTTGGTATCTTGACCAAGCTACCTTCAAACCAGTTTCTAGAAAAATCAAAGACAAGGGTAATATCAGGTTTATGTCCAAAAGCATAAAAAAGCTGCAAGCCACAAGAAGAAAATAGAGACTACAGTTTCTTTCAAGCATCCGTAAAATATACATGAACATTGATAATCTATTAGGGTAAAGAGAAAATTTCAAAAGTAGAAATATTATATGTTTTGATTACAATACACTAAAGCTAGGAGTTAATTACCAAATCAGAGGGAAAAAATGTCTTCTTGTCCCGGAGATTATAAAAGTATCTTAAATGAGAGCTTGAGTCCAAGGGAAAATACCAACCAAAGTTGGACCTTATGAGACCGATTTAAAGCATAAGGGCAACTCTAGCCTCTGCAGTATCATTGTGTGGGTTAGAAAAGTGCTCCTTCTTCAAGTAAAAAAGAGACCAATACTACTGCATCTGTGGCTGGTCATGAGGCAACGGCTCTGAGCCCAGTTGGCTGGAAGATGAGCATAACAGGGAAACTAAAGTCAAGTGAGTTGGGAGCCGTGAAAGAAAAAGAACCCATAAATTTCTCTAACAACAACCAAAAAAACCCCAAACCTGCTAGATAATGAGTTTTCCCTTAAGACTGCAAGCATATTTCTGGTCAGTAAAGTTCTTGCTAGCAAGATTTTGAAGGCCAAGAAAAAGCCTCACTTAAAAAAAAAGTCCCACTCATGTTTTCTTTCATTGAATGTAATATTCTCAAGGTCCTGACTCCTAAGGACAGAGACAAGAGTACACTAGGTTTAATAGCCTTCAGTTACCTTTATGTAAGCCACTATAGGATTTAACTGTTTTAAATATTTTAGATAAATTATGCCATTTTGAACAAGTTCTTGGGAAAAGTAATGAAAGTTTTATATTCCCTGATGTAAATGATTCAGGAGCAAGCTTACTAAGCCTATCTTAAGGGTGCCGGCATTCCAAGCCAAGAAAAGTCTCAATCTGTAATTACATTGTTAAGAAACTACTCAGATATTCTCTCCTTACCGCAGTAGAACATTTTTTAATGGAGTGATTTCTGACATTATTTTCCTAAAAGCACAGAAAGATCCCAGCACTCTTGGGGTTCTATTTTGTAAGGATAACTTTCTTTTGAAACAGCTTCTCTCCTAGAATGACAGCAACAAGGGCTCCAGGTGCGATGAAAGAAGGAAGGACTGCTCTCAGCCACACACTTACGGGGCAGGAAAATACGCCACAGCTGAGAATGGGTTGTGTATGGTGGGGATGAGAGGAAAGTCACTGAATGAGATGAATAAAAACCTAGAAAAGTAAAGAAAGGAAGGATTGGCATAGAGATCTTTCTGGAGCAGAGATTAGAAGTAGCTCTAGGTTGATTTTGAGTCCCTGGGTGGGAGTTTAAGAGGCTTCTATTGTGACCCAAAGGAAAAAGAATCTGGGGTCAGGCCACACTGGTGCAGTGACAGAATAAAGACCCGGTTGCCAGGGTCAGGGAATAAACATCAGAAGCCTGAAGGAGGAGAGATGGAGCCCTAGCTCCCGGTCCCCTTTCCCACCCTCCTTCCCCCTAGGTTATCTGAGATGTTACCTTCCACATAAACATCATCTTCCTGGTTTCAGACCTTAACTCTGGTCTCTGATGTCTGCTTAGTTTCACATTCTCTACCCATTTGCACAGAGGACCACTACCTTCCCTTCCTGGAATCTCTAAGTTTCTGCTTTGCTTGTGCCCTGGTCACCAGTCCTACCAAGCCAGCTGAGATGGAAGGGCCCACCCCCTCCAAAACGCTTAAGCCTCCTGATGTCAATGAAGAGTCTTTGGACCCTAGGATTATCATTGCCTTATTTAAAACTGGATCCCTTCCCCCTGCCTCCTGTGATTCTCCTCCTTCCCTAAAAACTAGTGACCATGAAGCAACTGAACAACGGATTGCAAAGAAGTTTGAAAATCTCTTAAAAGAACTTAAAGATATTGTTAAAAATATGACAAGTTATGAAGAGAAGACCACAGAAACAAAAGAATCTTTTGAGGAAAACAACATCTCTGAGGATGTGTCAGAACTTAAAGAAAAAATCAGAGGACTTGATAAAATGAATGAAGTACTCTTGAAAAAACTGGTTGGTAGTTTGGACCTAGAAAAAGAACAGAATACAAAGAAACAGGAGATGATGTTGGAAAACCAGAACTCCAACGACACAATACAAGGTTTTGCAAGGGATTTGGTAAATTGTTCAGAAGTAAAAACAGCCCTTCATGAAACTCAGCTAAGTAAGGAAAAAGCAAATAATGGATTCCCTCACGTTCAAGAAGAAAATACCACACTGAGGAACAACATGGAGCAGTTACTACAGGAAGCAGAACACTGGAGTGTGCAACAGACTGAGCTTAATGAACTAATAAAATCCTATCAGAAGTCTCAGAAAGACATGAAAACTCGTGAACATAATGGAGCCCATTCCCAAACTCAACCAAATAACGAGATGTCAGCTAAGCATGAGCTGGAAGAACAAGTGAGGGAACTGAAACAAGACACATATTCAATGCAGTTGATTGCAGCTTTGCTGGAGAATGAATGCCAAATCTTGGAGCAGAGAGTAGAGCTTCTCAAGGAACTCCATAATCAGAAAGAGAGACCTCTACAGGAGAAGCCAATCCAGACAAACCACAAGCCGAAAAAAAAAGAACAGAAGTTATCAGAGGCAGAGAAGGTCGGAATACAACAGCAAAACATGCAAGAAATGGAAGGTACATATCAAGAAGGAGATCAATTCTATAGAAGCCTGGATGCTTGTCATAAAAAGAAAGCTCGTAATAACCAGTTCAATATTCATGTTGCAAGAAGAGCTCTTATAGGAAAAAAGAGGCCAGCCAACAGCCTAAGTTAGAAAATACCAAAAGTAGAAGAAAAGGCAATTCTTCAAAAATAAAAAATAAAATAAAACAAAACTATAGTACATCCAGCTCCAGGCATAATCAATCATCAAACCTAGGTTAGACCTGTTGGTTCAACCAAGAACGAGCTATAGAGTAAGAAGATTAACACTTAACTTTATTCCTTACCTGAGTAGTTACGTAAGTTTGGTCTTTAATGACCATTACTGTCAACTTTTGGTCACATATGTCATCTTTATGATTTGTTTTTGTAGTTATTAGATTGAGGTTCTATTTCAATTTAAACAAAAGTGACAATTTACTAAATTCTCTAGATAAAGATCTAAATAAAAAAACAGAACAAACAAAGGAAAATATTTTTTCTTATTTATTTACTACCCTTGGGGGGAAAGCTCTGGGGAAAATAGTATGTACACTTTAATTGTGAACTTTTAAAGCTCATTTTTCCAAATGCATATTCTTTTTCCTATTTATTATCCACTGAAGTGTGGGCAGTAGTGGAGTTTAAAAAATGCTGATAAACTATGTTCTAAACAATTTTTCTCTTATAAATCTCCCTATGCTCTGGATCTACTGTCACTAATAGTTCTCCCTTGCTCTTCAACTAGTAAATGGTGGGCATACGAGGCAGTAGAGGCCCTTGGGCAAGGACACCTTGGCTTGTTTAGAACAGATGTGTATCTAGATTTTAGTTCTGTGCTGAAAAAATTCCTCTCATTACTCCAAGTAGAGGCAGAACCCAGGGGAAAAGCAATTATTTTCTGTTAAGAGAGTTGAACTTTTGGTTCCAGAAAAGTGGAGCGGAGGTATTTCTCCCTATTCCTCCTATTAAGTAAGCTAAAAATCCTGGGCATTATGTATAAATTGAACGTAAGAAGACTGAAAGGTGGACAGAAGGAGGTGTACTGGCCAGGGACCCTGAGACTTAAGAAACAGCATAGTGTTGAGTTCCCTGGGTTTTCTTTTTGTCCTTTATGTATGCTGAACTAAGGAGCCAATAACCCAGAAATGCCAATGCATTTAGACAAAAAGTGCACTCTGCACCTCCAAGCCTGCTTTCTCTTGCCAAGGGATGAGGAAGCAGGCTGGTAAAATGAAACCCTTTGTCAAAAACTGCCCTACTCTGGCCAAACTGTAAAAAAAGATGCCATGCCTTCACCCTCACCCCCATCAGCAAATACTGAGCAATGACTCTAGACTTTTACCCTTGTCTGGCAGTAATGAGGCACTCTTTCTTTCTTCTGGGTTGGCACAGAGGTGGCAGAGGAGGGACCCTGAAGTTCTGCTTCCACCTGATGGTAACAAGGTGCTCCTCCCTGATCCCCTTCTCCCAGCAGAGTAAACTGTCAGTGGAGGCCACATGGGGAGCCTAGATATCTACACCATTACGCTGCTGGCAGAGCATAAGAAGAAGCCTGCTAAAACAGAAGATTTAAAACAAGATCCAGGGTCTCAACACACAATGCCCCAAATGTCCAAAATACACAGAAAAATCACTCATCATACCAAGAAATAGAAAAATCTCAATTTGAATGAGGATAGACAATTAACAAATGCCAACAGGGGGATGACACAGATGTTGGAATTATCTGAAAAGAATTTTAAAGAAGTCATTAAAAAAAAGTTTCATTGAACAATTACAAACACTCGAAAAAATGAAAATAACAGAAAGTCTCAGCAAAGATACAAAATATAAAGAAGAGACAAATGGAAATTGTAGAGATGAAAAACATACTAAGTAAAATAAACTCACTGAAAGCACTCAGTAGTAGAATATTGGTATCAGAGGAAAGATTCCAGATAAAATAGGCTGGAAAAAATGATACCAAGAACCTCGGAATGGAAAAAATATAACATTGGTGACACCAGACTCCCCCAGCACCAAAAAAAGGCAGAATGTGGGCTGGAAAAGTATTCAACGAAAAAATGGCTGAAAATTCTCCAAATTTAGTGAAAGGCATAAACCTATAGATTCAAGAAACTGAGCGAACTCCAAATAGTATAAACTCAAAGAAGTTCAAGGCACTCAATCAAATTTCTGAAAACTAAAGACAAAGTAAAAATCATTTACAGAAAAAAGACTCATTCGATGTAGGGGAACATTGATCCAAATGACAGCAACTTTCTCATTAGAAACCTCGGCAGCTAGGAAGAAACAAATGTTTTTCAAGAACTGAAAGAAATATCAACCCAGGATTATTTACCCAGTGAAAATACCCTTTGGGAATGGAAGTGAAGTCAATATACCCTCAGAGGAAAACTGAATTTGTCACTATTTGTTGGGAGAACCCATTTGTTTAAACACCTAATCTTCATTTCTTCACATTCAAGAAAATGAGTGATCCTTTTAGCCTCAGACTTTGTCTTATTCCATTTCCAAATACGGATTTCACATAGGAAGTGCTAAATGAATGAAATGAGAAACTACGTTATCACAGAACCGAAGAATCACTTCTTGCATTTCCCTTGTTCATATGCATTACCTGAACGAATTCTGTCAGTGTCATTTATCTGCCAAATGTTAAGGGGCTAACTCTCCAGTTTCTAATCTGTGCACTGAAGCTCCATTGGTACCACAACCAACTCACAAGAGAACTGCAGGATTTTCAAATTTTTGAGAGAAGCACCACGATATTTAACATCTGTTGCACACAACACAAACTCGAGGTAGTCACAGTTTGAACCTTCGACTGTATGTAGCACCATACCCAAATGTGAAATTTCCATTGATGAGAACTCAGTCACAAGGCCACATCTATCTGAAAGCAACTGGGAAATGAGGGCTCGGTAACCATGTTGTCCAGGCAGAGGAAGAATAAATCCTGGAACACTATGAAGTGGAGAGAAAATATTTTTGTGTTCCCCCAGAGTTAGGGCTTTCTAAGCAAATTTTATGGAAACTTGAGATACTGGACAAAAAGTAAGCTCTGAAAGATGTTTTACAACTATATAGATAATAGGAACTCAAAAGAGTTACCTAAATTTAGAGATGGGTGTTTACATTTTAAATTGGGGTAAGGCCTGGGATATCAAGGTATCTCTGGGTTGTAAAGCTGCAGAACTGGATTTATCTAACCCCTGAGAGATTTATTTACATTATAAAAGGGTTAGAGTGAGAACCCCAGATCCTTTTTGTCTTCAGGGAGCAGAGGGTTTTTTTTTTCTCCCTCCTTTTGAAGGGGGAGAAGGACAGCTGCCTTTCTTTTCTACGTAAATGCCTAGATTCCTTTTCTCAGCGTTCCTCCCTTATGTTACAGGCTCCACTGCATGTAGGGTGACATCTGGTTCTCATCATACCTCTCCTGGGATAAGAACTGGAGCAAAGGGAACTAACTAGCACAATTACTATTATGTAAGTAATAATAATCTGTCTCTGATCCAAAAATCTCATGTGTGAGTTCAGGATAAAATAAAGGTGAATTAAAAAAACCCAACAAAGTTGATCACAATCTCCACCACAGGTTCTGTTATGAATGAAACACAGAGCATAAGAAATTTTACTATGCTGCAAGTACGGAACATACAATTTGAAGTATTGCTCCCTACACCATAAACATTTCTTTTTCGTGTCTGGAATATGCATCATTTTATAAATAATCTAAGAGACAAAATTTTCCTATTACAGTCCTTAGTAAAGGAAAAAGACTTCCAATTAAACAGTACTGGGGGTACTAAAAGAATCATATTTTTCCATTTGCCTTTCCCTCTAATGGAAACTACCATCTATGCTACTGGTTAACAAAACATTGTGCAGTTCATTCTATACTTTACCGTATATGTGGTGCATGTTACCAGGAAAAAAATTATTGCTAAAATAAATTACAGCTTTTTAATTAAGCATCAAGTACAGCAAGAAATCTCTGCTATATCAGACTGTCTGGTTTTGGTATTGACTTTACCATTTTATATGTGTGATAAAATTGTTCTTCTACCATAAGGATATATATACACACACACATACAATTCCTAAGCATGTAAATGAAAATTTCTGAAAACAAGACATTTTTAAAGGTGTTTCATGTGGGTTTCAGTGGATAAAAATCTATTACGTTCCTTCAATTAATGTAAAATTTATTGGAGAAGTATCATGGCATTTTATATGTGGAAGGATCTTTAGGCCATCACTTGTTGACAGTGAAAAGCCAAGGTGTGAAATCAGTGAAAATCTGGAACAAGAATCAGTATTGACCTAGTCCAGAGTTCTTTAACCCTGTATTTTCTCATACCTAAGGGTCAAAGACCAATAAAAATCAAACAGTGTTTTTGAAACTTGTGGATGTCCAGTCCTATCATCAGTATACTTTGTCCAATAGCAAGAGTAACTTTTAATGTATATTTTTTGGATAATCCTCTTAGGAAGAAGGAAAAATCCATACACACTTGTCAAATTTTTCCTAGTAAATTCTTCATAGTAATGTATTAGATTTTTTATTTCAAAGTACTTGGATCCCTATAAACTTTTCCCCATCAAGCCATAGCAGTTTCACACGGAAAAAAAATTCTTGGTAATAGTAATATTTTAGTAAGAATAAGCACTTTGTTTCCCTTTAAATATATTCCATGAGCCAAAATTTCATTTCTAAAATTTGGTTTCCATTCAGATCAAAGTAAGGGTTTATTTACTACCTTTTAACTGTTTAAAAAATATGCAACATGACAAATACACAGAAAAATGCACGAAATTTATATATATATATACATAATTTAAGAAATGATTAAAAATTAAAAATCTATTTAACCACCCCTTGGGTTTTGTCATACTGTTTTCTAAAGTGATTGTACCAATTGATGTGCCATCCATCACTGTAAAAGTGCTTCCATTGCTCCACAGTCTCAGTAAAATTTAGTATTACCAGACTTTTTAATTCAATGGTTATGTAATAGTACCTCATGGTAGTTTTAATTTGCACTTCTTCGGTTACTGAGTTTAGTCAACTTTTTATGTTTGTTGACCATTTGAGTTTTGTTTTTCATGAAGTGCTTGTATTTTTGCTTCAAATTATTGATTTATAGGAGTTCTTATGTATTCTGAACACTAGTCCTGTGACAGTTGAGTAGTAAACATTC